TGAGCCTGCTTCTCTCTCCTTCAAGCCCAGTGCTCTGTCTCCCCCATTAATGTGGACTGGAGGTTAAAAATGAACAAATCGAGCAGAGGAGCGAGGGAGGAGGGGGAGGAAACACCAGGATGGGGATTCTCAGGGGAATAAAAAAAGAAATCTCAGAGGTTTGTCTTGTTGTTTAGATGCAAAACTAGATTTGGACCTGCCATTTGTCACGCCATGAGACTAGACCACATGGAGCAGAGGCTGGTGAATGTGCCATTCTCCTCCAGAATTTTCTGGAAAAATTTCTAAAAAGAATTTCTCCCTCAATTTCTCTCTCTCTTTCCCAGTCAGTGGCCCTGAAGGAGTCCTCATGATAGGAGCATGCTAGATGGCTTCAAGAGTCTTAATCCTGGGAGATTTATGACTGTGACTTCACTATGAAAACAACACTATTTGCCTTGACCTGTCAGGGGGCAACAATTAGAAGAAGAATGTGAGGTTTACTTTTGACAAGGCATGTGGCTCATAATAGAGCCTCCATTACCGACTGGCTGATTTGTGGCTAAAATATGAAGGCCATGGGCTAAAAAGGAAAAGAACAGAGAGAACGCAACAGAATTCCTGTTATCCCCCTCCAGAATAAGGAAACAAAGGGTAGCTTTACGAACAGAATATGATACAGTTTTGTATATTTTTTTCTGCATTAAGATGCAAGTTGGTTTTGTATCAGTGCTCATAGGGTGGATCTCTTTTTCCCTGCTGTTATAACAATGTCTCAAGAAATGCATGACAGGGGGCACCTGGGTGGCTCAGTGGGTTAAAGCCTCGGCCTTCGGCTCAGGTCATGATCTCAGGGTCCTGGGATCGAGCCCCGCATCAGGCTCTCTGCTCAGTGGGGAGCCTGCTTCCTCCTCTCTCTCTGCCTGCTTCTCTGCCTACTTGTGGTCTCTGTCTGTCAAATAAATAAATAAAATCTTAAAAAAAATGTAAAAAAAAAAAAGAAATGCATGACAGGTCTTCAGAGAATGTCACTGACCACCAAAACACCGAAGATAACTGCACACTAATACAGATTGCACAAGGACTCGCTTTGATCACAATCTGCACACCCATCAGGATAAAGGGAATTCCAGTCCACTGGCCAGGTAGGTGTAATAACTTCAGGCGGTGTTAAGGCCCCCACAGTGTGACATCAGTGCAAAAGAGCAATAGCAAGACTACGGACTGAGAGTTTAGTCAGTTTGGAGGCTATGAAGCTCAGGATAGTAGCCTCAGCCCATGAAAGAGATAGACTCAGATAGTCTGAGGTCATGTTATCAGAGTTAGCAGAGAATCTTGGAAGGGGTCCTACAGGAAATAAGAAAAGCTCCATAGGAATTGGTGGGTATTTTAGGACCTGGAACTATGTGTCCCTTAAGAGCAGAAATCATGTGTTATATCCAATTCCATTCCCCCAATATCTACTATAGATCCCCACTCTGGAACAATGCACGTCAAGGGTTAGTTGAACATGTGAACTCTTCGGTCAATATTGATACCCACATGTAACCAAAAGGAAAAGAAATCCTAATGAGAAAAAGTAGTCTCTTGGCCTTTTCAGGTGGCAAAATTGTCCCCAAGCCCATGACCTTTCTCTTTCCATGGCTGAAATCAGCATGGCTTTCTCCACCTGGGTTAAGGTCAAGTTTGGTTGGGATGGGGTAGGTGCTTCAGTTTCTAAAACTAGCATGGTATGGTATGGTCTAAATTTAGTAACTGAAACCTTGACCTCTTTTTCAACATAGAACTTTCTGCTCTGGAGATAGTTAACACTTACCTAATCTATTCCAATCCATTTTGTAAGCACGTCTAAGCAGCACATGTGTAAGGATGGTAGGATCCCTATCTGAGAGTAAACAAAACAAAACAAAACACCAAAATTATTGTGTAATTCTGACCTTCTTTTCCCCAAGCTCCTTTAATAATTTACATGCATTTCCATCAGTCCTTATCATGTATTGTTTTAATTATTTGATTCTATTCACATGAACTCTTGGTGGATATAGACAAAGTATAGTGCTTGGCACATAATAGGGTACCCATAAACAGTTGCTGATGATGAAGCAAAAAATAATAAATCAATGAAATTATCATATACCCTGGATAGAAATCTAGATCATTCCGATTTCAATCAGCTCAGTACACTTTCTTCTAGATAGGCAGAGTTTTGCAATACTTCTTCCACATTCGTTAAATCTTAGCATAAATGCATAAATTCCAAATGGCTTGGTATTTTATTATTTTATGGTCACCCCTACTGTGACAGCCAAGCTGCTCACAACTTCCTTCAAGAAAGAATTTGACATTCAGCTGTGCAAAGTGCAGTTAGCAGGCAGCCTCTTTGTCAGTGCCTTTGGATTCAAACCACAGGGTTAGAGTTGATTTCATGCTCTGCTGCAAGTCCTGGCCGTTTCTGTACAATGTAGGACTCCTCTAACGGGACAATCTCTGTTCTGGACTATCCATTGGGTTTGCCTGAGGTTTTCCTCACCCAATTGTACTTCCTCCCTCCCCCCTTTCATTTCAGATAGCAGATCTGAATCACCGGCTGAAGACCTTCCCCGCCCAATACCCCCTTTACCTTTCACAGTCTTATCTTCTTGTAAATCCCTTACCTGCTGTCTCTTAGCCCAGAGTCTGCTTCCCGGAGGATCTAAACTGAACCCCCCCCCCGCCCCTGCCCTGCCACCACACACAATATCTCATCAGATTTGTTTTCTTCCTTACATATGATGGGGAGATTTTATTAACTTGAATGTTTAGTGTCTCCCCACTATAACTGCAGCCTTGTGGAAATGCGTCCCAAAGAAAACCGTTTATCATGACAACAAAGCCTATTGCAAATTGTGTTTTGGGGCCTCATGTTCATGCAAAAATGCCCTCTTGTCGGGGTAGCTCAACTAGAGACTGAGGCATTCTAAGTCAGTGCCCCAAACACTAGCTGTTCTGCAAGCTTCCTCAAGCTTGGACCATAGCCCGGAGGAAACCTGAGTGCTCCCCCGAGGGCAGGGAAGGGTTCCGAACATGTGGAGAGGTGATAATGAGAGCAATCATGTTTGAGTGAGGTTTATGAGGGCTTCCAGTGGGGCCCTGGAGAAGTCTAGTGCTTTTCTCCCCCTTGGCATTTTGCATTTTTGGCACAAGATATGTTAAATCTTGGGATCTCACAAGCTATTTGTTTTGCCAAAGAACCAACTATTGCTTCAAGTCCTATGTTCCCTCATCTCCTGTTTTTCTGCCTTGCCAGGGAGATTGCTCTCATGTGGCTTCTGGTAGCCCCACTGGTAGCCAACAGAGACAGGTGGAAGTTGAGTGAAGTATAAAGCCAAGAAAATCAAAAGACCTGTGTCCTATTATCTATGCACTTGCTGCTTGCAATCTGGAATTTTTGCTGACTCTACTGGAACACCTCCCCCCCACCCCACCCCCCGCCTTATCATAAGGTATACCCTCTAGACAGTAGACACATACTTCTCACATTATATAATGCCTTAATGCTGCGCACTGAAAATACCAATTCCTTCAGCTGTGACTTTGGGCGCTTAATTACATGGAAAAAAGAAAAACATTTAAAAGCATCCATTCAGACATGCTTTAATTTAATGCATCAATAAGGTGGGCTGGTGTACCATTTCAAGGAGCAGAATGCCTCCTCCAGGGAGCCTTCCCTTATCTCTCCTTGCCTTCAGCCACTTCAGTTGTTCACCCACTGTTAGGCCCTATGTAACTTTAGATGGCTTTATATATTTTTATGCCCTGTCTGGGAGTGAGAAGAACTGGAGAAGTCCTATAGATCAACCTCTAACTGAAGCCAGGAAGCCCTTCTCATAAAGAGTAGACGTATCCTAAGCAGGCATAAGGTTCCAAAGTCAGCATGGAGGGTGAAATGAAGTACTGTTAATATCATCTTTGAAAACTGTAATATGACAGGCATTTGGGAAGTAAGGCAATAGGTAGAACCCTGTCTCTGATCTCACTCTTATCCCAAGGCACAAACAACCTTACAAATGGAATGGCAGGGAGAATCATCTAAACTACATCATCATTTTTAAGTTTTATTTTTATCAAGTATTGTATTGAATCAAACTTTTCTACAAGATTGGTTACAAAAATTATCAGTACCCCACCTTCACTTTCTCTTCCCTGGAGGCAATGACTGGCTCTCCATACAACTCTGAATAGCACACTTGTATTGCTACTTCTTCGTTTTTCATTTTTTAAGGCTTACTGGTTGACTTCCTGCCACAGAAGATGGAGAATTTAGTTCTCTTTCATCCCCTTCCCCGCTAACACATACCCTTCCAGTTCCTGCATTCGCCCACTGCAGTTCTACTATAGTTTTGGTGAGATCAATATTCAGTGTTTACATTTTTATGACTATGTAAATAATATTCACAGCTGAGCTACTTGGTAAACTTTTTAGTTTCCTTTCATGAACAACTTTTTATTTTCCATGGAGCTAATAATCATCATATGTGTATATTTGTAGATAGATAGATCTATAAATATATATATAAATATATATTTATAAATATTAAGTATATATATATATATATATATATATATATATATTGCATTTTGTTTCCTTGGTTTTCTATGCACATATGCTAATGCAACCTTGAACTCTCTACCAGTTGTCCAAATCTCCTGCCAGTCTGCTCTAACACATCACATGGTCAGTGTTAGCTTGGAGAAATATCCTGGAGCCCTCTAACTCGTTTATGGGGTCTGGCTAACCTTCAAAGCTGAATCAAAGCAGTTGTCCTGGGTCATGCCTCCACATCATCCCAGGAATATCATGACCTTTTTCTTGAGTTGGATCTCCTTTTTCCTGTACCCCATGCCTTCCTCTTCTTTGGCTTAGTATGCCATTGGGGTAGAATATATACTACAAAAACTCTCTGAGAAAGTATGAGGAGGAAATTAATTTTTTTAAATCCTGGATGTTTGAAAGTGTCCCCCTTCTAGCCTCACCATTGATGATTTGTCTGCCTGTAGAATTTTTGGCTGCAAATCCTCTGCTTTCAGAAATATGAAAGCATGGCTCCACAGTTCTAACTTCCAACATGGCTTCTGGAAAGAAGATGATGTCATTCTGATAACTATTTCTTTGTAAATGTGTTTTCTCCCTGAAAGCCTGTAGGATCTTACTTTGTCCCATGTGCTCTGAAATTTCATAATGATTTGCATTGTTATGGGTCTATTTTTATTCATTGGGCTGGGCACTTGTGTCCTTTCAATATGGACACTCGTATCTTTCAGTTCTGGAAAATTTGTATATGTGTGTTTACATATTTGTCTGTCTTTCAATTCTGGAAAAAGATATTTTTTTCTTGATTTCCTCTCCTCATTTTGTCTCTTCTCTTTTTCCAGGACTCTTAGAGTTTGCATATTGGACGTCTTTGAGTCATTTTCTTCTTTTCTTAAATCTTCTTGGGGCACTTGGGTGGCTCAGTGGGTTAAGCCTCTGCCTTCAGCTCAGGTCATGGTCTTAGGGTCCTGGGATCGAGCCCCTGGGCTCTCTGCTCAGCAGGGAGCCTGCTTCTCCCTCTCTCTCTGCCTGTCTCTCTACCTACTTGTGATCTGTGTCAAATAAATAAATAAAATCTTTTTTAAAAAATCTTCTCTGTTATTTCTTTTTGCTCTATTTGGTGTGAGGTCCTTCAACTTTTTCTTTTAACACCTTTGCTGAGTTTTTCATTTTTGCTCTCATAATTTCTAAGAGCTCCTTTTTTTCTCTGTGAATGTTTCATTTTAATAATGTTTCTTTTTCATCTATTTCATGATTGCAATGTCTTATCTCCCTAAAGATATAAAGACATAGAGTTAGGAAATACACACACACCCACACACCCATTCTCTTCTTGACAAAGTTGCCACTTCCTTGAAATTGCTTTTTTTTTTTTAAACTTGTTTTTTTTAAATAAATTTTTAATTATGTTATGTTAGTCACCATACACTACTTGCTTTGCTTTCTCTTTTCATATGAGCCTTCCTCATCTGTGTGATGGTCCTTGGTTATCTTTATAAAACTGGTTGGAAGCTTTAAAACATGAGTAGCCTTGGTTGAATGTTAGCTTCCTTGTAGGGTGATCTGGCTGGAACCCCAATATCTTGGGGTGTTTCCTCTTGAATTGGTCAGGTTTCTCAGATTAGACACGTCTATTCTTTTGCCTAGAGAGTGAAGATCTGGCTGCCAGTGTCCTGTCAGCTGATTGCTTCAGAAATTTGGTGGGATAAATTGGGCTTCCTTTCCACTTTCCCACAGCTACCCAAGGATTCAGCTTTCTCAGGCTTACCGTCATTTCTTCCACCATGTTGCTACCATGGTATCATGGTCTATTTCCACATTTTCTCACTCTCATTGGCTTATGACTTTAAAAATTTTTAAAGATTTTGAGAGGTAGTGAAAATAGATGTATGGATTCAACTGATCATCTTAATCAGTTGGAATCCACTATTGTCTTATCTCTTCATTTTTGGCTTAGTCACAACAACAAAAAAATTGGATTTATTTAAATATAGGCTCATATGTTCTGCCTCCCCAGGGATTATAGTGATATTTGTTGAGTACCCTCTAGTTAACAGTTATTTTTCTCACTCTTGAACTTACTTGGTTTTCACCATGACCTAGTAAGGTAGCTATTAGTCCTCATTTTTAAGTACAAGAAAACCGAGGCGAAGAAAGTTTGAGTCTTATCCAGTTTCCATTAGTTGGTAAGGAGCTGAGACAAGACTCAAAACCAGATTTCCTGGTACAAATCTGACTTTTCTTTTATTATCACCTACATCAGGCTTTTTTGGCAAACACTTTCTGTAGACAACAGGCAAAGCACCCTCTCTCAGCAGGGGATGGCTATGGCAGGAAGTTCCTCCTGATTAACAGCTGAAAGCTGTCTCTTTAAGGTCTTCCCATGGATCCTGGGTCTGCCACCTTTGGCTACATAGTGCCTTTGGTTTATCTTCCCCGTGCGAGGCCTTTCACTATTTGTACTCAGCTGTTATGGGGTATAGATGAAGGGCAGTGATGTTGTAAAAGTTAAGGAATTCTGAAGAGAAGAAGAGTGCTGAAGCTGTCCTTGGTCATGGCAGGGAGATGTGAGTGAGCTCCCAGAATCCTCCAAGAAGGATGGTGGGTGGACCCCAGCAGCGAGGAGGGCAGAGAGGATATGGTGCATCTGAGTGTCAGGAAGCTCAAAAGAGGAGATCTTGCCTATGGGTGGATGGCACAGGAGCCATGAGAAGTATGGAGAAGCTGCCTCTGCCTCCCGGCCATAACATTAGGTCATAAAAAAAATCATGCGTCAGATAAGACACAGAGGTGGTGGAAAGAGTGGTTATAAAGGTTAAAGATGGGGAAGAGCTCATTATAAGGGAATAAGGTTCAAAAGGTAAAGTGAAAAGAATTGAGAAGAGAGTTGGTGAAAGGCAGAGTTGGGGAAAAGCAATCTCAGAACAATTCAAGGGTGTATGTGTGACCAATCTCAGAACAATTCAAGGGTGTATGTGTGACCTTGAGTCAATGAAAAAACGTGCAATTCCTCCACCCCTGACCCCAGGCAATTGAGGAAAACACCAAGGCCACTGGAGCCTTGCTACAGCCTCCTCCTTCTTCCGATGGAAGCATAGACTGTGGGGGAAGCCTGTGTCCTCACCTGTGGCATGCCTAGGCTTGCCACCTGGCCCACAGGGTTCTTTTTTGTCCATCACCGCTAAAGGCTCTGGCTAGAGGATTTGGTCTGAAGCCAAAGCAAATAGCAGCTGAGAGACACACAACAGTTGGCGTCTGGCTCCAGTGGTTCTGGCGCCTTCTTAGACCACCCCCTTTCCTCCGAAGAAGTCTGCCCAGCTCGATGAAAACTACAACTGACATGTATGCAGTGCTTTGGGATTTCACAGGCACTTCCACGTATGGACTCATTTTATCCTCCCAGCTGTGCTGGTGGTAAGTTTCATGATTCCCATTGTACAGATGAAGGAACGTCCAGCTCCAGCCCTTATAACCAAGTGACATTGAGTAAGTCATTAACTCTCTCTAAACCCCAACATTCTTAGTAATCAAATGCAAATAAGACTTCTGCAGAAGGTGTTTTCAGTGTTAGATAGGATGACTTATGTACAGGGCTTGCACAGAGCCGGGATCCCATAAATAATCATTCTATATTCCCAGTAAATGATTTACCCCAGTTCACTCACCCAGAGAAATGCAAAGTTAGGGTTCCCACCTGTCCTTGCCACTGAGGGGCAGGCCATTCCTTGAGGGAGAGAGGAATAATTTATAAATATAGCTTCAGTGACTGTGACAGATTCTAAGGATGACCTCAGCAATTTCTTCCATCCCTAGGTACATGCTTCTTTGCAATGTGAGCTTCTCCCTTCCAATAAAAGGTTGATCCTATTTCCACTGCCCCTTGAGTCTGGGCTGACTGTGTGACTTGTTTTGATCAACCGCATGTGGAAGAAATGACCTTAGACCTTGAATGCCAGCTCTCCCCTTCTTGGTGCTCTGTGATTCCCATGTAAGAAAGGTCCAGGCTGGTCTCCTTGAGAATGAGCAACCACACAGAGCAACCACACAGAGAAAATCAGTCATCCCAGCAGTTCAAGCCATCATCACAGAGGCACCAGATGTGGAACTGGACCAGCTAGGCAAGGCAGCCCCTTTATTGTCATTTCTTTGCTCCCCATCCCCTCACTTGTAGCTCACTGCAACTGCAGTGTCCCCAGTGAGACCAGCAGAGGGGCTGCCTAATTGAAGCTGGCCCAATTACAGACTCCTGAACAAATATATGATCTTTGTTTGAAGCCACTAAATTTGGAGGTAGACTGTTCTGCAGAAATTGATGACTGATTCCTTAGATAAGACACTGGGAAAATGTCAGTAAAATTGCATAGATACTGAAATCAGGGGGCACCTGTGTGGCTCAGTTGGTTAAGTATCTGCCTTCAGCTCAAGTCATGATCTCATAGTCCTGGGATCAAGATCAAGCCCCACAACAGACTCCTTGATTAGCAGAGGGTCTGCTTCTTCTCCTTCTCTCTCTGACTCTCCTGACTTGTTCATGCTCTCATTCTCTCTCTCTCTCTCTCTCTCAAAAAAAAAAAAAAAAAAAAGGCAGGTACAAAAGGTACTCTTGAGATCATCTTTCTCCTTTAAATTATGTTTGATCCTCCACCATCTTGTGGTCCTTTTGACTAAAGTTAGAACTATGAGCCTGATGAATTCATGAAGACCTGTTCTTCTGATACATGTAATTCTTTGGAGAAATGGACATAGTGTGATCTTATATTCGGGGCTCAGGCTCAGACTCTCATTGGTTCCTACCTCATCTTTCTAACCAATAAAGGACTGGAGCATATATACTTGATAGAGGGTCTTGGGAATATTCCTAATGCCACGTTGGGAGTCTGCGGTAAACCTTGAGGCCAAATCTCTGCATCCTTGACCTCTTCCAGTCTGTTTGAACACATGGTGAGAGCATGCTTGCCTCTTCCTCCAATCAGCATCTCAGAGACTTCTCAATTGTTCTGGAGCAGATAATGCTTAGAAAAGAGGTACAGACACAGGGAGGGTGAAAACAGGGTATTTCAGGATAGGCTTAACTGATGACTCCAGCCCTGACCCTGCCTAGATCAACTTGAATGTTTCAAAGGAACTTTGTGCTGAGGAGTTTGAGATGATTCCGGAACAACTTCACAGCCAAAATGAAACATCCAGAGCAAGCTGTTGTCTGAACAAGAAGAGCTGTGGTGTTCTTTTTAGGTCACTTGGCAGTTCCTGGCCTGAATTTGCCCCAGAACAAGGGGGAAGACTGAAGTGACTTCATGCAGTGGAGAGCCAACCACATGGTACTTGCAAGCCAGAAAAGAGGCTGGCTTCCGAGAAATTAATCTGCAGGTCAATGGGAACAATGCTTGTAAAACATTCACTTGCTCATCAGCTCATCTTTAAGTAAAGTGAGAAGGATAATGTGAGTCACAAGCCACCTGTGAAGCTTACTTTGCAATCTGGGGTGCAGGTGGCTGTGTAGATGCTAACATTCCTCCCTCCCCTTCCTAGGCTGAGTCCTGGTGGCCTTGTCCCCAGTGTACTAGGATCTGTTGCCCTCAATCTCTCTCATACTCCTTGTTCTTATTGCCAACAGCAGCAATGAGGCAAAGGAGTCAGGGACAGCTGAAATGACTAATTTCTGAGCTCTGCTTTCTCTGTGCACTCCCTCTGTCCATGGAAAGCGGGCAGGAGACAGGGTGTGGGGGAGGGTGGCAGGCTGGGGGACCCCTGTTGCTCAATGCTGGGTGCCCAGAGCTGTGGTATGCAGCCTGCTCATTCAGCCCACGGGAAGTCAGTAGCATGTATGGAGGCTCTGAGGGATCTCTGGAGGAAAGCACAGACCATTCGAAAGGACACCAGGGGTAAGGAAACCCAGCTCTAGGACTGACCTACTGCCTAAGTTTACATGGATTAATAAATGAACATTTTTTGGCATACTTTATAGTATGCTTTCAAAAGTACTTTTGATTAATTATGTGATATGTGTGATAGACAATGTATTATTCCTATTTAAGAGATGAAGAAGCTGAGAATCAGAGAAGCAAAGCCATTTGCCCAAAGACACACGGCAAATAGAACTAGAATCCACTGCCTCCAACCCCTCTGCTTCTCCCACCATGCTTCACCACCCCTTGGGTATTAACTTCTCTGAGCCCAAGCTCCAGCATCATTGAAATAATGACAATTTTACTGGGCATTTTCTCTGCGTGAGGTAAGCATGTTACCTCATGTTAGCTCATTTAATCCTTAAAATAACCTATGGGCAGAAACTATTTTTATCCCTGTTTTAGAGATGAGAGAGCTGAGGCTTACAGAGATCAGCAACCTGCCCAGCCAAAGCCCAAGTTCTAAGCCACCTTGCCATATATGTTCCCGTTGGTGGTTGGAATGATCTTCCCCACCCACCTACCTCACCAGGCAATACTGAAGACAAAATTAGATGATGGATGTGAAAACACTTTTTGAAAGTCAAACACATAGGGCACAAATATAAGGAAAAATTAAAGAATCTCCACTTCTGTGGACTTTATACTATAACAAAGCCCAAACTCACTTCCAACAACCTGACATAACAGGTCCTCACTGACATAAAGCAGCAGACACAGTTCTAGAAAGGAGTTGCAAGGAGAGGGTGATAGAGATCAGAAGTCCCAGTCCTGGAAGTAACTTCAGAGAGGGGAGTTTTGCTTAGGTTGCTGGCAATAAAGCAGGGCACCGAACATAAGAGAGGAGAAGAATTCCAAGCAGAAACTTTGGCCAGTGGGGCCAGGCTGCCCTGTGTAGGGGAATGTAGGCAGGAGTCCAGGCAGAGATGGAGATTCTAATAGAAGTGACTAGCAGCATGCTTGAGGCCATAGTGATGAGTATGTGTGCATGTGTATGTGAGCATATGAGCATATATGTGCGTGAGAACACGCATTCCTGTATGTGTGAGTGCATGTGTGTAAGGCAGTGTCATTCCCTCTCCCCGCCCCCCACCATAGTGTCATGCACAATAGCTTCCCCATTATCTCAAACACAGACCAAAAACTCATCTCCACTGAGCACTTCTTGCTGCCACAATCCTTGATCCCCCACAGAATCAAAATATACTCTCTGATCTTGGCACTGACTCTTGCTCTCACTTGTGGGACTTTGCTATGGACTTTTATGTCTCTGTTTATTTTGTGTGTTTCTTGAGTGGCTCATGCCTTTAAAGGAAATACAGCAGCCGTGGCCTGTCATTATAGCCCTTTGCTGGCCGTGGGCTGTGCTTGCCCTGCTCTGGGGATGGGTGAGCCTGGGCTTTTAATTTGCTGTGACAGGAGATAATTGTTGCTTGAGTTTCCACCTCTGAAAATAAACCAGGGTGGTGCTTCGTGGCTGGAAATCCACAGAGGCAAGCTCATCCCTGGGGCCTATGCCAGGGGAGGCTTAGCCAGGGCTCAAGTGACTGGTCTCAATGTCCTTCACCCCCTTTCCTTTTCTGGATCTCCAAACGTACAATTAGTGTTTTCTTTAAGATCTCAGGATGGCAAAGTTAAGAAAGTTTGGGGAGATTTTCTGATAATGTATGCAAGAATTCTAAAGGTAGGATTCTGTGAGATTTTAGACTCTGAGGATACTAAACACTCCACTCTGGCCTAATCCCCAGTTACAACTGCATTCAAGTTCAAGCACATCATAGCCTGCCCACCAGGGCTACACTCTATGCCTTTTTCTTCTTTTTAAAATATGATATCATGCATAGAAAATAGCTGGACCAAGTCCCACCAATCAAAGCACTCTGAATTGCAAGTCAGGTCATGGGCTTTGGATAAAAAGCAAGACCCTTCTTATCTATAAAGTGAGGTATCTGGACTTGACCTTCAAAGGTTACCTCTGCCACAAGGAACCGTTTCTCCTGGACTCCATTCACGGGCTTGTCTCTCTAGAGCTGAATTGAGCACAAGGTATTGTGAGGCCTGCATGCGTTGTACGAGTTAAGATGATATAAAGATATCTGGGAGTTGTACATTTTAGTTACGTCTTTGGATGAAGATAATACAGAAGGAGAACCCACAAGTAGGGAAACTCGTGGTAATAGAGAAAAGTGTGTCAGTGAGAATACTGGCTTGTATGTTCTAGAGCCCTGCAGAATGATCCTCCTGTGCTTTACATCTCTCTGTTCAAATCTTGTCCCTCTACTCATTAGCTGTCTGACCTTGGCAAAGTTCCTTAACCTCTCTTAGTTTCCCATCCATAACATGGAGAAGATGAGAGATCTGCCTCATGGAGCCGAGGTTTAAGATAGATAGTTTTAGTATGGTGGTTATTTACACCGCTAGCTAGAAAATCTTACTTTCCTCCTTTTAGGCACCTGGTGAGACTGCATTTCCTTAGCCCCTCTAAGTTGGACTTATCAGGGTGACTTGCTTTGGCCAATGAAATGAGAGTAGAAGGGCTCTGTGTTGCTCTGTGCAGAAGCATTTAATAGCCAGTATAAGACGCTATCGTGAGCCCCCTACTACAGCAACAAGGAAGGCAGCAGATGGAGTAGCTGGAAGCTCTTTTATTCCAGGTTGAGATGTGAAGAAATGTAGAGTGGAGCCTCCTAGCTAACCTGCAGCAGACATTTAATGAGATCAAGAAGTAAACTTATTATCAGCTACTAAGACTTTGGTGTCTTTGTTATTGCAACATAAACTGGCCTACCCTGACTTTAGTAATATACGTGAAGTGCCT